CCGACCCCCGTGCCACTTCCTTCCCCTCGGCCCCCATCTCCTTCCGGGTTCCCTTGGCCGCGCGGTGCATTGTGGGCGGCAACCTATTTCCCTCCCCCTCCTTCAACCTACCGAGCTCCCTCGGGGCGCTGGCGCAGTGGCAGCCTCCCATCTTTCTCCCAGCCAGAGCCAGAGCCAGAGCTTGAGCAGCAGAAGCAGGAGCAGCTGATGATGAGGAGAGAGGGGGAGGCTGGGGGACCTTTTATTTATATTGTTAAAGGGACAGAGCGCTAATTCCGCCCGGGATTGGTTTGTGGGGGGGTCGGAGCGAGGAGCCTGAGTTTCTCCCCCCACCCCCAGCCCAGCCAGAGGATCCCAGAGAGACCCTGGGAGAGAAGGAGAGTTTCTTCCCCCCCTTTGGCCGTCAGGGGAGAGAGAAAGAGACCAAAAGCCTCTTAGCAGCGCAGCCCCTTCTTCTGCCTCTGCTGCTGCTGCTGCTCGGCCCTGGCTGGAGACCCCTCAGCACACGCACACGGAGGAGCAGCAGCCAGTTCACCAGCCCCCCCTCCCCTCCTCCCCCTTTATTACCCTTTGTGTGTGTCTCCTTCTGCGCTGCTCCAGGCCGGGGAATAAAAGTGGGGTGCAGCCAAGGTAAGCGTGTCTACGTGGGGGGAGCCCTGCCTCTGCCCGGCTCTCAGGCTGGCTCTGGGGCAGGCAGATTTGGGGAGTGGGGGCTGGGAGGGGGGCTGTTTTCTGTCTCCATCTTTCAGCTTTGAGGAGAGACACTTTGATTGTTTACGAGTCTGGCAAAGTGGCTGATTTTTTTATTTTTTTTTTTAATTCCCCCTCCTTCCCCCCTCAGTTTTGTTTCTTGCTGTAATCCCTTGTGCTCCCCCATGGGGGGATGTGTTTATCTGTCACTCTCTCCCCACTCTTGTAGGAAGGGGGTACCTCTTTCTTCACCGCTCTTTATTTTTTCCCCAGTGTTTGAGGAAATGTCATGGTGTAGATAATGATCAAGCCTTGCTGGTGGTGTTCTCAAGTATGTCCCAACCCCCCCTTGCCATCCCCACCCCCTTTTCAGAGTTGCCTTTGATTTTAGGGGATTTACTGTTTCTGGGAGCCGTATTTTTGTCCTTTGGTTTTCCTTAGTCTTGGTCTCGCATTTTTTTTGTTTCCTGTGCGAAGAGAGAGAGAGGAAGTGTTTAAAAGGTGTTTTGTGCAAGGTTTATCTTATTCTTGATTTCTTTCAAAAGTGCTTATGTTTCCAATATCGAATCGGGAAATTCAGAAATCATAAAAGAACAATGTGGAGTTGAAACATTTGGGAATTTTTGTGTCTGACTTTGTTTTGGGTACAGTTAAATGTTTCTCTTGATGACAGTTGGAGTCACTAAATTCAGTTATGTAATGACTAAGGCCATGATCCTACAGAACTCTTGCATACACTTCATTCTAAGCCCACCAGTATTCTTAAAATGGAGTTACTAACATAGGTAAATCTTTGCAAGAACAGGGCATATGTAATAAATATTATATCAACACTTGATTATCATAAACAGCTAGGTCTTGGTAAGGATTTCATTTTATTTCTTTTTTTCCACCCCCTCCCCCCCCGCAAGATACTCCATTAGGAAGTCCAGACCTTCCTGTCAGTATTTCTGTCATACTAGCAGTTTGTTAGGTTAGGTACAACTTTCAGTTTTAACTAGTCACTTTTTTATTGCTATAAAATCTACAGGTTGAAAGATTTTTAGTTTCTACAACTTATTTAAATTTAAATACCTGTTTCTGTTTTCTGGAAAACATTGGAACAATTCCTTTAAAGATTCAAAAGCATCCAGAAGTAAGAGTTTACAAGTTAATGACAAATTGTAATATAACTGTCCTCTTCTGTGCAAGTAGGACACTTGCTTTAAAATCATCACTGTCTCTATAATTTTGGACTTTAACTACATTTTTTATACAGTTGTCTGTGTTTTAAAGGCTATTCTGTGCTGTCAGTTTTTAGGAAATGCTGCAAGATAATTTGAAGTGCGAGGTAGGCCACAGGATATGCATTTCACTGGGGCATCACAGCTAAAGTGGATTCAGGATGGTATATACAGTATCTGTATCTTGTATTTGAGGAAGAATATACACAAAACCTTCAGTTGCAAATGCTGTTTTATCTCTGATCCCATAATTTGTGTCAGCAAAAAATATCTTGTGTAAAGTAGCAATTTTGTGATCAAACTGGCAAAATGAAAATAGCAATTTGATCAGGTTGGAAAGAAAAATAAATTTGGAAGGATATTCCGTGTAAACATTGTGAATAGGAGAGGACTAGCAGCTTTAACTACAGCTCTATAGAACTGTTCAGCTTTTGGTTTTCTATGTAGCTTGTGAAGATGAGACACATTGCAGTATTCATAATTCTAAAATATCTAATGTATAAAGTAATATTCCTTCTGAAGGTCAGTAAATATGCCAGTTGGGCACAAAAACTAATTAAAGAAATGTGGCTCCTATTTAGTTAGTTTAATGTAGGTGAAAATAGATATTTCCAGCAAAAGTTTATTCAGGAATAAAAAAATATTTTTCCTGTTTCATACCCACCTGCTATAACATGACTAATACTTTTCTTACTCTGAGGGTACAATTTGTATTTTTCTGTGGCATGTAGAAATCTATAATGTGCTCAAGATTATGCTCCCAATATCTGTATTATTTGAGGTTCTTCTGCAACTTTGACAGAATATAGTTGGTAAATATAGATAATTCATTACAGACCATTACAGGGTTGTTTTTTTTCTGATTTAATTTTAATAAAACCCATAACTGACATGGTTTAAACCGGTTGCTCAGTTTAAGGGGAAAAAAGAATAAAATTTGAGCAATTCCAGTTTTTCAAGTTTTTGATATATTAACTCTATATTTATTGATGTGTATTCCTAGAGGGGAACCATTTCTAAAACCTTAGCTTTCTTAGGCCTGGATCCTACATTCACATCTGTGCATTCAAACAGCATCAGTTTCAATGAGGCTCCACTCTCATGGAATAATTTGTAAGATAGAGAGTCTAAAACATAATCTTTTCAGGGTAGAAACGTATTTTTATATTTCTGCAGTGCCTAAGACAATAGGCCTTCAATTCAGAATGGGGTTCTCTGGGTATTGTCATACCAAATCCTGCTAAATTTAATTGTATTAGCAGGTATAAAGAAAACAGCTGGGAGCCAATGTGTATTAAAAACTAGAGATTTTTATTTTTTTCTTAAGTTCTTCTTATTCTAGTAACACAAGGAAGTATTAAATATTAATTATTGCTTTTTAAGAAAACTTAGCATATATTTTCCTCATTGGCATATTTGTATACTTGCCATTAGTTATTTTTTAATATTCTTTTTCTTTACTAAAAACGTATTTGGAATGTTAGTTTTTTAATTTAAAAGAGATTTTTTTTATACATAAACTGTGCTAGGAAAAACAACAGAGTTTTTGTTCAGGTGAGGCCCATACTTCAGCATTTTTTAAATGAAAATTACAATTCTTTTTGCTTATCCAGTACTAACTTGGCAATGAATTAAAACTTCTTTTTGGTAAACATGCTGCTTTTCAGTATAGTTAGTTTGTTTTTTGTAAAGCAAGATTATTCACAAGTAAAACTTAGATTTATGTGATTCAACCCTTGTTATCTTCTTTGGAAGCTGAGAGTGCTCAGTTTCTCTCAAGAAGTACTTCATCTCTGAGATCACTAACAACATCACTCACAACAATTTCTCATCTTGTTTTTGACCTGGGTTGACTAGATTAATCTGTAATAGATTTTTCCCCTCATTGTTCATAATGATCTTTTGTGAAGGAAATTAAAGCTTGAGAACTTGGTTAACTACAGAAAGTTAACTGCAATATCAACTTCTGAATCAACAGTGATTCTCTTGCATAAACTTCACTCCAGCATGCCACTCTGTGTGGGTGGGCCTTTGTATATATGTGGAACCCATTACTTTTTAATTTGGCTTCTCTTGGGTGTCAGAGCCCATGGGCATAGAGCAGTTTGGGATAGGGGTCTTAGTTAGGAATAGCTTGGGATACATTTTTCGGAAGTGACTTTGGTTCACAGTGGCTGGTGAAAGTTTAGGCCCGAAGGTGCTGAAGTCACTTTTTTGAAAGGGAAACCCAGGTCCTTTGCCCTTTTAAAAATGTTACCCCTTGGATTGGTTCCATTGAAATTGATGGGAGTTTTGCCTCTCCTCTTCCCACTCCCTCCCCTGGGAACAAAATAAGGCCTGTAATATAGGGCCTGCTTTCTAAATATTTTTGTAAGACCGGTAGAGAAAATTGCTTGTAAAAACTGCAAATAAGCTTTATCTCCCCGTACAAAAATTGAGGTATGTATTTGTTATTAAATGGAGCATGGAATAAAATTTTAGAAAAAGCTTGAAGATTCTAAGATACCTCTTGTATCATACATAGGAGGTTTTAGTCTATAATTACAGTTAACACAAATAAGCCATGCTAATATTTTAACTAATTTTGGTAACTTTGACCTATTCAATCCTTCAATTATTAATCTAAAACAACATACTTTATAAATTCGAATATAAGAATTTATAAACAGTTTGGTAGTGAGAAGGAATTTCATGCTTTATACTTATGAATTTCTTGGCTCTGCTAAGTTTTCCTAAACAGAATGGAGCATAAAATTGTTACGAAGTATGTGTGCAGACATTATTCTTAAATTTAATATTCTTTTCTGTTCCTACAGACCATAACGTTCATGGAACTAATAAGACAATGTGTGGGGTCTTTCACCTCCAAGTTGTTGACTTGAGTCTTGCAAAGGGCAGCAGGGACCAAAGTTGTTATCATCTGCTGGCTTTTCATTGAGTTTCATGCAATAAATTGATCATCTCAATTCATTCCATAGTTGACATGTCCCCACGTCACAAAAGTCTCCATTATTTTTTGTCTGTCTTATTTGAGAGACTAAAAAATAAGTTGAGGGAGAATGACTGAAAGAGCTTGCATCACTGGATGTCGAATCATTTGGAATAGGAGTGAGCATGTTGTAAGAGCAGCACGAAGAAACTGGCACTACCCGAGTTTGCTGGAGACTTGCTGGACTTCAGGCTTGTCAAAGTAGCATGATTTTCACGAATGCTGAATGTACTTGAAATGATTTAGGTAAAATAAATTTAAATTCCTTTAGAAGTTTATATTAACTTCCTTCAAAGGTGAAATATATTCTGTCATTACTTTCTGAATATATGTGTGTGTGTGTGTGTGTGATATTTACAATGCTTATTTTATTATACCTCAAATTGTTTAAAAGGGTGGTTTGGGGATAGTGTAGAGGTTAAAATATTAGCTACTGTTATTTTTGGAAACTATAGCACTATCAGTTCCATAGGGTTTAGTGTCATTACAACTGTTTAAGGGAAAAGTCATACCCATGTTTTAAAGACTGAAAATATCAAGACTATAGGTTCATGATAAAATGTATTGACATAAATACTTAAATCATCAAAAGCAAGAGCAGTTGCTTAAAATTAAAATGTATCTTTGATTTTAGAGTTTTGAGGGTTATTGCATCACTAACATGGCTGCTGTAAAAGTCAAACAAATTCCTAAGTGGCGGAACAGAACAGTTGTCAACTGTTTGCACA